GCCCCAAACAGAACAAACGTCAAATGAAAATTGACAAAGCCGGGCACAGTAACTTAGGCTACAGAAAAAAAAGACGGCAAGACCACACCAACAACCTAAACTTCGCGGCGAGGGGGGTCTCGAGGCAAGCGCGCGGCGAGGGCGGGGAGGAGGAGGCGAGACCTCGAGAGTGGAGCTGCGGCGTGGAGCTTGGGGCTGCTGCGCTCACCCCCCCGCGCCGCTGGACAGGCCTCGAGACCGCGCGCGTGGAGATGGACCGGCGGCGGCGGCGGATGGACGCGTCGGTTCTCGTCGGCGAAGTTCTTGCGCCCGCGGGCGGCGGCGACGGCGACGGCGGCGGGGAGGGGAGGCGAGGGGTGACTCCCGCGGCTCAGTGAGTGAGTGTTGCTCCATGAACTAGTCAGGCGGCGATGAGGGTCTGCGTGTCCGCCTTCTCTCTCCAGGGGCCAGGGCGCCGCCTGCATGGTGCCTGCCTGGACACTTCCTAGACACTTCCTAGACACTTCCTAGACACTTCCTAGACACTTCCTAGACACCTCCTAGACACCTCCTAGACACCTCCTAGACACTTCCTAGACACTTCCTAGACACTTCCTAGACACTTCCTAGACACCTCCAATGGCACGTGCCAACCGCACACCGCCTCACGCGACAGCCGCACGGGCCTGAGCTGTTGCTGAACAGACATCCCATACTGTACTGTCCCCGCCCTTTGTAGGATCGAGAGAAGTTAGAAGAGATGACGCTGTCCACAGTTAGCTGTGGAACCCTGGGCCTTTGGAGGTGTCCATGTTCTCACCATCGCAGGTGCCTGCCGCCAGCCCGCCGCCTGCTCCCGGCTTGCGAACCGGTGCGGGGCTGGGTCCTCCACGACGGCTGTGAACAGCGTCTCTTCACACCTCTAGCTGTGAACAGGTGCGGGGCTGGGTCCTCCGCGCGGTGACGACAACTGCGGCGCAGCGCTCGCGAGGCGGCGCGGCGGGCGAGGCGGCGGGGGCGGCGAGTCCTCTCGTGGGGGGGTCTGCCGACGGCGAGATGTAGCCGAGATACGCGCGAGATACGGCCGAGGCACACGCGCGGTGTGAACGGCGCCGCTTCGCACCTGCCGGCTGTGAACAGGCGAGCACGTCGCCGTCGCGCACGGTCACAGCGTGGCCACGCTAACCGGCACGGGCATGCTCGGGCTGGAGATTGAGGAGGAGCCTTCCCTGAACCGCCTCGCAGCCTTCCCTACAGGCATGGGTATGCTCGAGCTCGAGATCGACGGCGTCGCCGCCTCCTCCTTCACGCTGCCGTCGCCCGGCCTTTGTTTCACGGCTCTCTTCCCTTAGGCGTCGCCGCCTCCTCCTTCACGCTGCTCGCCCACGGAGCCGCCCCGCAGACCGCGGCAGAGTGAGGAGTCCGCAGCCGGGCTGGAGCGGCTGACGGGGCATGACTGTAGGGGCCGCGCCGCAGATCGCGCTGCTGCTCTCGCCGCACGCGGTCCTCCTCCTCTCGCTCAACGCCTCCGCCGCCTCCGCCGCGTTCGCCGCGGCGGCGGCGCTCGAGGAGGCGATGGCGAGGGGGGAGGGCGGCGCGGCGGCGCGTGCCGCGGCGTCTGGCGCCACTTGGCGCTCCCAAATCCCCCGCGCGGTGGTGCTTGGCACGGCCGCGTTTTCTTTTTTTATGCGGCTCGCGTCTCGCCTAGGCTCGGCCGGCTCGCTGGGGGCGGGTGTGAATGGGTCATCGTTGAGAACGAATCACCGCCATTGTCCTCAGGCGCTCGCGGCTCGCGGCGGCAGGCTGTTGATCGCTCGCTGATCGCGATGTCTTGTCGCTGTTGCCGTTAGGCACGCTCGGCTCGTGGGGCGGGCGTGGAGGAGGTGGCGCCGCTGGGCGCTGTGGTGGTTCGGGCTGGAGGCAGAGGCGGAGGAGGCGGAGGCGGCGGAGGCGGAGAAGGCGGAGGAGGCGGAGGAGGGGGGGGAGGAGGCGGAGGAGGAGGCGGAGGCGGCGGAGGAGGCGGCGGCGGAGGAGGCGGAGGTGGAGGCGGAGGTGGAGGAGGAGGAGGAGGCGAGGCTGGCGGAGGAGGAGGGCGGCGCAAGGGAGGCGGAGGCGGGTCTGGGGAGAGAGGGGGCGGGGGCGGGGGGCGGGGGCGGGGCGGAGGGGGAGGGGGCGGCCGCCGAGGTCGACGCGTCAGACTCCTGGCGGCTGCAGACGGCGATTCTGCCGGCGGTGGAGGCGCTGGCGGGCGAGGCTTAGCCGAGATGCAGCCGAGAGGCAGCCGAGAGGCAGCAGAGAGGCAGCAGAGAGGCAGCAGAGAGGCAGCAGAGAGGCAGCAGAGAGGCAGCAGAGAGGCAGCAGAGAGGCAGCAGAGAGGCAGCAGAGAGACAGCAGAACGTAGCAGAGAGGCAGCCGAGGTGCAGCGAGAGGCACAGCCGAGATGCACCCCTTCCGTCTCATCCGCACAGGCGCCGAGCCCCTCGCGATGCTGCTGCTGCCTGCGGTGGCAGGCTCCGGCCCCGACGCCGCGCCGACGGCGCTCGTGCTCTACGACGGCGGCGCGCTCGCCTCATACGACCTCGGGGGGACAGCTAATCGAGGAGTGACTCCTTCATCAAGACGGACTACTTCTAGGCGCGCTCGCCTCATATGACATCGGCCACGCACTGCTCGCGAACCCCGCCGCGCCGCCGCCGCCCGGCAGCATCGGTGCGCTGCTGGCGGCGGTGGGGCGGGCGACTTCGCGGCGCCTGTCGGAGGATGCTGTGCGGCACCACCGTTAGCCAGTTCTTGACTGCTCGTTTTGAGTGGACAGGCGCTTGTCGGACGGTTGTGCCGCACCGCCCATCACTGCTGTTGAACGGTGTGTAATGAAGGAACAGGCTCCTGTCGGAGGACGCGCTCCCCCTCCCGCTGCTCCTGCTCGGCGTCTTCGCCCTCTCTGCCCTCGCCGTCTCCCTCTTGTGCGCGCTGCGCCACCGGCTCGGCACCGGCGCGCGCCAAGGGGGCGGGGGCGGAGGAGGCGGAGGAGGCGGAGGAGGCGGAGGAGGCGGAGGGCGTGCCCTCCTCTACCCGCTGCTGACGCTGCGAGCGGCGGCGCGCCTCGCCGCGGAGCTCGCCGTCCCTCCGCTGTGAACGGCGCCTCTTCACAGCAGCTGCTGTGAATAGGCGCGCCTCGCCGCGGAGCTCGCCGTCGCGCCGCTGGTCGCCATGCTGCTGCTCTGGGCCGACTTCCGCACCGAGTACCCGCGGGGCAGCCGCTCGAGCCTCCTCGGGGAGCTCCCCTTCACGGACCTGTCCCATAGGCTGACTTTCGCGCCGAGTACTTGCGGGACGACGACAACGGCCAGCTTCCTCAGGAACCCTTGCCGCCCCGGCCGCCGCGGCCGCAGCAGCAGCCGCAGCAGCAGCCGCAGCAGCAGCCGCAGCAGCCGCAGCAGCCGCCGCAGCCACCGCAGCCGCAGCAGCAGCCGCAGCAGCAGCCGCAGCAGCCGCAGCAGCCGCCGCAGCCACCGCAGCCGCAGCAGCCGCAGCAGCCGCCGCAGCCGCAGCCGCAGCCGCCGTTCGCAACGCCGCCGCCGCCGCGAGCGGCCGAGCAGCGGTTCGCGGAGTCGCCGGCGTTGGGGCGGCCGAGCTCTCCGCGCTGCACGACGCAGTCTTGTGTGTGAACGGCGGCTCTTCACAGCTTCGGTGTGAACAGGCGGGCAGACTCCCCGCCAGCCACGGTGGAGGCGGCTTCTGTGTCGGCCTCTTTTGCTCTCGCAGGTGGCCGGGCGGGGAGGGTGTGAACGGCGTCTCTTCACGCTCGCGGCGGTGAATAGGCCGCTCTGCTCGCGGAGGGGACGCGTCTCAACGAGGCGCATTGCCCGCCGGGCATGGCGAGCTGTATGATGGACTCGTGACGCGTTCGTAAGCCATCACAGGAGCGCTCAACCTTCGTGCCACGGCGGGCTGGAGCTGGTTTGTGACTGCTGAGTCTCGCTCGTGTCCAAGAGCAGGCGCTCAACCGGCGGGGCATGACGAGCGCGCGGTTGCAGCGGGTGCGCGACAACCTCGCCCGCGCGGCGGTCGGCGCGTCGGGCGACGAGCGCGCGACGCTGGAGAGGCGTTTGCGTCTCGCCGGACGCCGTCTGAGCGCACAGTCTGTGTGGAGGGCTAACTATGCGTGATTACCAACGAGGCGCCTGCGACTCGCCGACGCCGGACTGCTGGCGGCGCGGCAGGGCGACTCGACCCTCGAGGGGCTTGCGGTCGCGGACTTGCGCGCGAGGGCGGCGGCGGCGGCAGCGGCGGCGGAGGCGAGGGCGGGGGTGGCGTCGGCGCAGGCCGCCGCCCCGCAGGCCGCCGCCCCGCAAGTCGCCGCCGCTCGCCTCGCCGCTCTGACGGCGGCCGATGGGGCTGCGGAGGCGGCGGCTGCGGAGGCGGGTGCGGCGCTGGGGGAGACGGCGGAGGCGAGGGTCGCGGCCCTGGCGCAGCTTGACGAGGTGACTGCGCGGCTAGCGAGGCGCGCGGCGGAGCAGGCGGAGGCTGGTGGCGAGGAGTTCCTCGCCGGGGGGGGCGTCGGCGAGGCGGCAGGCGGCGTCGCGGGGGCAGGCAGTGCGGAGGGAGGCGGCGCGGAGGGGGGCGGCGCCTCGGCTGCCGCCGATCCGGCCGGGGGGGAGGCGGCGCCGCTGCCCCACGCCTTGCGTGGCGCCGCTTATCCGCCCCAGGAGCATAGAGCTGCGTAGCGCACGCTGCACGGATACGGCTTTAGCCATGTCTCGTTGAGAAGCATGAGACCCACCGGCCCGCGGAGCGAGATGGAGTATCGGGCGCGTGCTACAGGTGTGTGCGCGGAAAGAGGAAAATAATGAATCTTTTACGCGCACACCTGTGGACACGCCGGTGATGACAATAAATAGAAACTAGCGCAGACGAGAGCAGGGCAGACCCGGGGAGCCGCGGGAGCAGACGCGGCATCGGCCGCCGAGGGAACGTTGGGTATGGGAAGAGGCACGAGGAGGGCGGCGACCTCAACCGAGGACCAGTCGCCAGACGACGCAGGGCAGACGACGGGGAGGCGGAGCTAACGCGCAGGGCGAGACGAGGAGGGAGTCGAAAAAAAACCTGCAGGCATAGCACAGCTCACAATCAGCACCCTGTGTAGTATGAACCCCGCGCGTGCTCGCGCCCCAACTGACAACTCATCATCGTCCCTCGGACACCACCCGCCAGCCGCGCCACCTTCGCCCACCTCCAGCCGCGCCACCTTCGCCCACCGCTCTCGCATGCCATCTCGACAATCCTCTCTGGGCCCCAGACTCCTAACCACTTCCCTTGCTCGCCCAGGGTACGATTCAGAGAACCCTGGTGCACCTGTTCGCAGGGTTCCGCCCCACTAAGCAGGGCAACCTCTCTCGAGGCGGCTAGACTATCTCAAGCTCTCGCCCACCCGTGTCGAGTCGTTACACGTCCCCACGTTCGTGCTAGCCGAGCCAACCGGCCGAGCCCAGGGCTATCCATTCGAGACGGACCTGCCCCGAGACGGCCCTTCGGCACGGCGGTGGAGGCGGCGGCGGCGTACGCGCGGGCGGTCGGCGAGTACCAGCCTCCGACAGTGGCTGGTGCGGAGGGCTTGCGCTTGCACCTCTCCAGCAACAGCACCGGGTACAAGGGCGTGTTCAAGCAGGCCTCTGGCCGCTTCCGGGCGATGCAAAGGGTGGGCGGAAGGAGGGCATTCCTCGGCACCTTCGACACGGCGGTAGAGGCGGCGGTGGCGTATGCGCGGGCGGTCGGCGAGTACCTGCCTCCGACAGTGGCCTTCTCGTACGTGCAGCATGTCAAGTAGAGAGGAAGAGGCAGACGCGAGGTCTATAGCAGACCACAAGCATTCTCTGTCTTTAATTTTGTTTATTCCAGCGAGATTTTTCTTCTTTTCAGCCACAGCTCTGCCTGTCGCCGTTGTAGCGTTTGCCCAGTGTTGTATGTATGTATGTAGGAAGGTGAAGAACAGTCAGGCTCGGACTGGAGTGTTGTGCGAGCGAGTTTAGTCCGAAAATCTTTTCACCGTCGGAAGGGCGCTTTTGTCGCTTTCGGCAACACTGAATCATTCTACCGGAACATGGTTGAGGGGCATGGGCCCTACTGCGAGGAGGGGGAGGGGGGGAAGGGGGGGGGGGGGGGGAGGGGGAGGGGGGGGGAAAAGAAGAGGGGGGGGGGGGGAAGGGTACCGGGGGGGCGGCATTGAGGGGGAGAGGAAGAGCAAGGGCGAGAGAGGGCAAGGGACCGGGCGCTGGCATACCAGGGGGGGCAGGGTGGTGGGCGGCGACCGCCGCATACCGTCCTACGGCGGGGACTATCGCTACGCCAGGGAAGACAAGGGCGTCGAAGTGCAGCTGCTGCTGTTCGAATCGTTCGGCGGGTTCGGAAAGGGGGTCCGTGAGATCCTCAGGAAGGCGGCGGACGTACTACAGAACAAGCTGACGCGGGCCCAGTACCTCGATGAGGTGACTTGGACCACCAAGAGCTGGCTGGGGCTGCAGAAGCAGCGCATCTCAGTCGTTCTTCACACGGCAATCGCAGAGCAGGTCGTGAATGAGCTTGCCTGTGGCGGGGGTGGGCGGGTGCACGGAGCTAAGTGCCTCGCCACCCTCGCCGGAGTCGCTTAGGCGGCTCCCGTGGTGTACCTGTGTTAGTGCCAGTGCGAGCCAGTCCCGTGCCCAGTCCTGTGCCCAGTGTCGTGCGAGGGAGTTTTGTTGTAAAATTCTTTTCACCGGTTGTAAAATTCTTTTCACCGATCTGCTCGCGCGAGCCACAGCTCTCGCAATCAGTGGCTGTCGCCGACGCCACCGTGGCGGGGCTGGCTCTGCGCGCACAGAACTGATGCCGCTGGCTTCGCGTACCGAAGCGCTCGCGGCGTCCGAGCCGGGGCGGGCGGCATCCGAGCCTCAAGGGGCAGCGGTCGCGACGGAGGCGGAGGGCTTGCGCTTGCACCTCTCGAGCAGCGGCAACACCGGCTACAGGGGCGTGCGCAAGCAGGCCTCTGGCCGCTTCCAGGCACGGCACATGGTGAATGGGAGGAGTGTCAGCCTCGGCTACTTCGACACGGCGGTAGAGGCGGCGGTGGCGTATGCGCGGGCGGTCGGCGAGTACCAGCCTCCGACAGTGGCCACGGAGGCTGAGGGCTTGCGCCTGCACCTCTCGAGCCGCAGCAACGCCGGCTACAGTGGCGTGTGCAAGCACCGCCCCTCTGGCCGCTTCGAGGCGCGTCGCAAGGTGGATGGCAAGGATGTCTACATCGGTAGTTTCGGCACGGCGGTGGAGGCGGCGGTGGCCTATGCGCGGGCGGTCGGCGAGCTGCAGGAGGCTGGTCGGCTGCGAGGAGGAGGCGACTGGATCTCCGCCGATGCGGCGCCCTTCGCGCCGGGCAGCGCAGACGTGCGGCTCCTCGCCGAAGCGATGCGGACGCGGAGCTTTCCGCGGGCGGTCGTGCTCACCGAGGCGATGGCGGTGCAGCTGTACGGGCTGGTGATGAAAGCGAAAGACAGGAAAATTGCCGGGCTGCAGTGCTGCTCGCTTCTGGCCGACGTTGGGGTGCAGGATCGATGCGGGCTGTACTCTGCGCTGGCCTCGCTCGCTGCCGGCGAGTACCTCGAGCTGCGGCGCTCCGCAGCCGATGCCACAACCGCGGCGAAGCTTCTTGAGCTCTATTTGAAACGGATGTATCAAAACTGCATTCCCGAGCTGAAGAAGATGAAGCGTGTGCCCCGGGAGGCGGCCTGGCTGGATGTGCTCCGCCGCGACCACTCCAAGGGCCTCTCCTTCACCTTCAAGCGGGACCTGCTCGTCGAGGGCGGCGGCGGCGGCGGCGGCGGCGGCGGCGGCGGCGGCGGCGGCGGCGGCTCGGCCAGTCACGGCGGCGGCGGCGGCGGCGGCGAGTACCAGCCTCCAGCTCAACCTTCGTCAGCGGAGGCCGTGGCGCCGCGGCACGTGCAGGTCCTCGAGGAGGAGGCGGAGGGCTTGCGCTTGCACCTATCGAGCAGCAACGCCACCGGCTACAGGGGCGTGCGCGAGGACTCATCCTCTGGCCGATTCGAGGCACGGCACATGGTGAATGGGAGGAGTGTCAGCCTCGGCAGCTGTGCCACGGCGGTGGAGGCGGCGGTGGCGTATGCGAGGGCGGTGAGGGAGGCGGAGCCGGCGGCGGCGGGCGGGCGTGCCGTCAGGAAGAAGCGGGCGCGAGGAGCGACAGACGCGGGGCAGAGTGCGAGGCGAGCTGGTGGCGGAGGCGGCGGCGGCGGCAGCAGCGGCGGCGGCAGCGGCGGCGACGCACTGTCATCCTCGAGCGACGCCTCGCCCTCTGCGCCCGACGCGAGCGTTCAACGCGAGGCGGCGGGGGAGGGAGAGGACGATGAGGTGGAAGTGGAGGTGGAGGAGGAGGAGGCGGAGGCGGAGGAGGAGGAGGGGGGGGCGATGAGCGACGATGACGATGGGGTGGAGGAGGTGGCGCCGCCGCCTCAAAGCTCCGCCGCTGCCGCTCCGTTGCTGGAAGGCGGCGACGTGCAGATCTCTGCCGCATCAGGCGCTTCGGAACTAGTCAATAGTCAACGTGAGATGATCCTCACTTACCCACTCCCTTGCTTGCACCGCACAGGCCTGCTGCCCGAGCATTTGCCGCACCAGCGGGCGCTCTGCCCGCTTCACCCCTTCCATGCGGCCGAGAGGCTGGTCGCGGCGCCAATCGATGGCAACGAGGCGGTTTGCCCCAACTGCTATTGCCTCATCTGCGACGCGCCCGTGTCCGAGTGCCGCCACTGGCGGGGCAGCGACACGCTGGCGCACTGCAATGCGCATAGCAGCAGCACACTGTGGCGCCAGAAGCGCGTCAATGCGAAGCGGCAGCGCACGCGGGTGGTGCGGGCAGCGCAGGCGTCGGTCGACCCGCAGCTTGCGCAGCCTTCTCGAACTGGTCTGAGGAGCGGGCTTGGGTGAGGTGCGTCGCACGGTTGTAAGGAGCACCGCATCGATGTTCGACGTCGCAATCACCATCAGCCCAATGTGAGGCAGCGCAAGACTGCGATCCAACTGAGTGTATTGTGTCTCTGTCCCGAGAACTGGTTGGGTAGTAGTCTAAGTCCACCGCCACTTCGCGGTCGCAGCGCTGTTTGTCGCCCGAAACGCCGCATATCCCTCTCTACGGCTCTTACTATGTGGCGCGTGCCTGGCGCCGGATGCGGGCCCCGGAGAAGTGCTACGTCGGAGCAATAAAAACGTGCCCATCCCAACCGAGAGAGACATGCGTGTTTTGCATGGGATAAGGCACTCGGAGAAGCCTCCCCGCGAGACATGCGTGTTTCACGAGAAGCGGGGAGAGATCGCGACTGGAAGAAGAGAGTTGTAGAGCCATACTCGCGGAGACACTTGCGGATCGACGGACGAGAGCACGAGACGTGTGTACCATGCGAAGACGCGGTTACTTCGAACCAGGTTTCGCAGGTGAAGAGCGTCCTGCTAGGTAGCGTGATAGGATGGCTGGACACGAATGTCGGAGAGTGTTTTGTTACGTGCCCCGTCACGTACGAGAAGACGCTGGACGCGCTCTTCAACACGTCAAACGGCAATTATACGCGCATGTACCCTCTGAAGGACACGGCATATAAGAGGAAGAAGCATGGAGCTGAGGATCTGCTCAAGAATATGACGACGGAGGATCGGTCGCGAGTACGGGCGAACCAGCTGAGCACGGACGGTACGCTCGACGCGACGCTAATCTCTGCATGGCGATGGTTCTATTGCAATACAGAAAGAAGGGATGGCACGAGATCACTAAATTCGATAGCAAAGGAAGGATAACTGCGCCGTACGCGCTGTATAAGGCAAAGAATGTGACTGACCCTCTTGTGCGAGAACGGAAGCTGCACAAGGCGACGGACGCAGACGCTGGAGGAACAGACCAGGTCCGCATTCTACTGGGCGAACCGACGCGAGTGGAAGAAGGCATGGAACTGCTTCAACTCGCTCAAACCTGCGGACGGCCGGAGCCGAAAGGTCGTCGACGAATTCATCAACAAAACTCCGCAGGCCAAGGCACCACCCGAACATGCGATGCGCGACGAACCCGGATATGAGGCGGGCAAGTACAAGATCAAGCCAGAGATCTTTGCCAGGTTCGTTCGCAGCTGCAACGTCACCCGAGCTGGAGGCCCTAACCACGTCGACTACGACTTTGTGCGCATCATCACCGACAGCGAACGTGGCTCCAAGTGCCTCCTTAACTACTTCACCGCATTCTCGTGGGGCGTCGAACACCCTCGGTTGCAGCAGCTCGACGCCGACCTCAAAGCCCTGTGCCTCGTCAAGGAACCGCCGTCAAGTCGGAGCCAGTCTGCGGCGACCACAGCGCTCACCGGACACCGCAGGGATGTGCGAGCTTTTCAGACAAGCCCCCCCAAGAAGCATCACATGATGCTTTTTTAAAGTTCACCACTTCTGCAAAGCGTGAAGAGGCACGAGGAGGGCGGCGACCTCGACCGAATACGGGGTGTGGACCGTGAGTTGACCAGGGGTTGTGCGCCGGGCCCTCCTGCTCGGCTCCAGCGAGTAGACAAGTGTTGTCATCAACAGAGTAGAAGGACCTGACCTCGGGGCCGATGTGACCAAGCGCTGGTAGCGTGGTTTTACCTCCCACCCATGGTCTCACAGTGTGCTGGCAGTCGCCGAGCAGTGTCGCTCACACAAGCCGCAGCACAAGTGACTGAGGGCCAGTGAGGGCGAGCTCATCGCTGTCACAGCTGTGGCAGCCGCACAGTAGGCTGTGCCATCTGTGCAGAGCGTGTGCGCAGCAGAGGAGCTGCTCTCCAGGCTTCAGGCGCAGAGAGATGCATGCCGCCGAAGGCGCTGTCGAGGTTCGCCGAGCGCGGCGCAGGTTGAGGGCCACCGTCACCGACGAGCGCGTTGGACTTTTCACTCCGGACAAAGACGGGGACACAGCGGACGGTGCGGGGTGTGTCCCTGTCATACTGGGCCACGTAGCGGCGAGGCGCGGGACCGTCTGTGGCGAAGTGGGTCGCGTCCCTCGATTTCCTCAAACTCACGGTCCACACCCTTTATGGAGGGGACCCGTCGCCAGACGACGCAGGGCAGAAGACGGTGAGGCGGAGCAGACGCGCGCAGGGCGAGACGAGGGAGGGAGCAGGACTTTGCGGAGATCAGCAGGAGGATGTACGAAGAGATTAGGAGCAGCAGGGACCCGAGGGACCATGTGGAAGACGGCTAGTGCTAGTCCCCCATCGGGAGGACGACCCCGGCTAGTCTCCGACCACACCCACAAAGAACCCTGCACAAAGGAGATCGCAAGGGCGGGGGCCTGTTCCTTTTTACCCATCTCACAGTACGAGTAGAGAGGTGTCCGTTTTTATTTATTTATTTAGAGCGTGCCTTACCCTCACCGCCCGCTTCGCTGCTTCCCCTCCTCCGCCTCCAGCCTGGCCAGCTCCGCCGCGAGCAGAGACCGGTCCTTGGTGTAGTGGTACTCGCTCTGCCGCGCGCCGTAGCGGTGCTCGCGCCCCCGGCGCACGCAGTCGCGCATCGCCGCCCACTTGTGCGCCAGGTGCCGCGGCATGCCGTCCACACGCAGCTCCTCCGCGGCCGAGGCACGCAGCGCCTGGTCACAGCCGGACCGCGGTGTCATGCACCGTTGCTAGTTCCGAGCAAATGTGATGTCGACGCAGCGCAGCGCCTCGTCAAACGCAGCCTTGGCTGCCGCCGCCTCGTCGTCACTCAGCAGCGGAGGCAGCGGCGCGGGAGGGCCTCGCAGGTGCGACGCCTGCTCCCGGGCCAATCTCGGTCAATCTCGGGCCAATCTCGGTCAATCTCGGTCCAAATCTCGGTCGATCTCGGACTCTCTCGGAACACCGCAGGAGAGAGATGCCTGGTGATCCCGGGCAGACTAGGTTCATCTCGCCGGCAAGTCGAGCACGAAGAGTGTCTAGGACGTGTCTAGGGAGTGTCTAGGAAGTGTCTAGGACGTGTCTAGGGAGTGTCTAGGGAGTGTCTAGGGAGTGTCTAGGAAGTGTCTAGGAAGTGTCTAGGAAGTGTCTAGGAAGTGTCTAGGAAGTGTCTAGGAAGTGTCTAGGAAGTGTCTACGAAGTGTCTAGGAAGTGTCTAGGAAGTGTCTAGGAAGTGTCTAGGAAGTGTCTAGGAAGTGTCTAGGAAGTGTCTACGAAGTGTCTAGGAAGTGTCTAGGAAGAGTCTAGGAAGTGTCTAGGAGGTGTCTAGGAAGTGTCTAGGAAGTGTCTAGGAAGTGTCTAGGAAGTGTCTAGGAAGTGTCTAGGAAGTGACTAGGTCTAGAAAGTGTCTAGAAAGTGCCCAGGGAGCGTCTAGGAAGCGTCTAGGAAGCGTCTAGGAAGCGTCTAGGAAGTGTCTAGGAAGTGTCTAGGAAGTGTCTAGGAAGTGACTAGGTCTAGAAAGTGTCTAGAAAGTGCCCAGGGAGCGTCTAGGAAGTGTCTAGGAAGTGTCTAGGGAGTGTCTAGGCAGTGTCTCTTGCCGGCAGGTCGAGCACGACGACAGCGCGAAACGCGACCCACGCGCCGAACGTCGGGTGCACGCTGAGGAACATGGCGTCGCTAAAGTAGCAGACTCCGGCGACGCGCGCGGCGCGGTTCATGTCGACCAGCCGCGTGGGCGTCATGTCGGACGCCCAAAAGCTGTCGTGCGCCACCGCCGCCTTTCGGCCGGCTGCTGCGGCGGACGCGGCGGCGAAGCGGCCGACAGCGCCGCAAATGGCCTCCGCTGCAAAGGTGTCGACGGGGTCGGAGAGGGCGTCCGGGTCCTTCTGCGCCTTGAGCCAGCGCAGGAACGCCGGCCACATGGCGCGCGAGTTGCCGACGAGTATCGCCAGCGCGTCGCCCGACCGCCCAAAGTCGGGCAGCGGCGCGAGCGCAAAGGGCGCCTCCTCGCCCGAGGCGTGCCGCTCGCCGGACGCCTGTGCAATCGCTGCGCGACGGTGGTGGGCTCTGCAGACGCCCGAGGGAGGCCAGTGCTGTGGCGCGGCGGGAAGAGACGCGGGAGGAGTGGCACAGCCGATCCGCAGGCTGCGAGGGAGGGAGGCGCCTGCAGGTAGGCCGTCGAGTCGGTCGAGAGGCCGAGCTCGCGGATGTAGTCGTTGTACCAGCCGGCTCGCAGCGGCGCGACGACTGAGGCAGCGGCGACGAGAGTGAGAGGGGAGGGAGCAAAGGGCGTGGCGAGGAGAAGGAGAGAGCGACACCGTCGAAGCCAGATTTTTGCAGTTCCGCGGTGAGGGCGGCGTACGCTTGCTCCGCACTGCTGTGAGCGGGCTCGTCGGCTGTGTCTGTGCTTGGGGTGCGCTCGATGCGGGGGAGCGAGGCCATCGCTTGGGCGATGGCAAGCGAAGCTGGACGAGCTTCCTCAGACAAAAAGAATTCTTATGATACAAGCCTCTCTCACTGCTCTAGCCTCGCACGTTGCTTCCTGTCGTCTGTTGTTTGTTGTGCCCTTGTTTGTTTCTCTTGGCACCTTGGAGTGCTGGGGGGGGCGACAGGAAGAATGTGGCCCTGAGTTATGTATACGCCAACTCAGGGTGTGTGGCAGCCAGCTGGCTGTGTGTCTTGTGAGCTTGTTTGTGTCTGTGTGTCGTTCGTGCGTGTCGTCATCATCTGTCTCGCGTCCACCCATACCGCGTTGGTGTCCAGTCCGAGCCTGATGCATTTCGCCGAAAATTTTTCGCCGACGCGATCAAGAAGCACAGGACGCGTTCAGGGAGCGCCAGCGAGAGAGTTAGGGGACCCTTTCTATTCATGATCAGAGGTCCTCAGCAGGCAGACGGAGGTCCTCACAGCAGGAGGTCCTCTCACGGCAGAGGTCCACCGCCTCCACCAACCGGCTAAGGAATGATCGAGGGAGCGCGGCGAGTGTCAGAGCAGTGTGGCATCGACACACACTATCTCAAAAAGGTGTCTCGTGGTTGGTGCCCTTTCCAAGTTGCTCTAGGCGCCTCCGTCAAAAACCGAAATCCCATTTCAAACAAACACATAAAGAATTTTACAACAAACATAAAGAAAGTAGACGAGTGGTGCGATCAGGTACTCGACCCCTTGATGTGTGTTTTCTTTCTTTCTTTCACCAACAAAAACGAGAAAAAGAATAGATGCTGAGAGCGCAGAGCGACTTGCACCACCTTACACTGACTTTCACCCTGCTTTCACCTTCTCTTATTGAGCTTCCTCTGATCGCCAGCGGCACGCTGGAGGGAGGCAGCGCGAGACGCAGGCAGCGAGATGGTGGAAAGCAGAAGCCCGAGATGGCGCAGCGGCACGGGGGTCAGGGGTCATGGCCGCGCCTAGGCGTACTCCAGCGAGATGAGAGGTCCTCACAGCAGAGGTCCTCTCAGCAGAGGTCCTCACGAGAACAGAGGTCCTCACAGCCGAGGTCAAATCGCCGCCACTCTCTCACTGGCAACATGTGCATGCTCGCGCGCGCTGCTGACGACACGCGCAGAGCAGTCGGAGGACACGGAGCCAGGAGGAGCAATTAACCGATGCGGCTTGGCGCTTCGTGCCTCGCGCGATTGTGTACAGGCGGCGAGTTACTGGTTGATGCCTTGATGGCTGAATGCAATGTATGTGTGTAATGTCAAAGGCGTACCAGTAAAGAGTGCGTAAGTCCGACAGATCGGATGAACACCTCTCTCGTCACCAACTCAGTTGTAATCATATCAAATTAAAAGAGTCACCCACACGTACCAGTAAAGAGTGCGTCTCGTCATACGTACCAGTCACTGCCCCCCCCCCCCCCCCCTGCGTGACAAGTGCAGGAGCGGTAAACGCCTCGCTATGGCGAACCGCACCTTCGACTCGAATCGCACGTTTTCTTTTTTCTTGCTTTTCATCTTTATTCATCGTGGCCCACATGCGCGAAGATTGGTAGATTGCAGGCTGGCTGGCAGGGCTGCGCGGCGGGCTGCGGTGTGCTGTGGGTGGTCGCGCGCCTGCCTGATGGTGCACGGCGGCCGCTCAGCCCGCCCGACCGGGTCGTCGGCGGCCCAGGGCGCGAGCGTGCGGACAGCGAGCGACTGGGTCCAGCCCTGGGTGGCGCAAGATCTGACGTTCTGTGACAATCGTCAGATCCGTGTTTTTCTCGTTGTTTTGTCGCTCGCTCCGCTCGCCACCTCACGCTCCGTAGTCCGGCCATGGCCAGTACCCCGCGTCTCAGTGAGACGCGTGGTACCATCCAACTCCGGTCGAAGGGCTCGAATGCGCTCAGCCTCAGGAGGAACAAAACCACGCAAATTCTGCACGCCTCGCTGCGCCGCTGGCTTGACTGAATCAGGCAGCAGGCTGCTGCTGCTGCTGCCACAGCAGCAGTCTGCTGCGGCCCTAATACGCAAGTTAATGACTAGCAGCACTGCCGGGGGCATACGAGCCGCCACAGCCGGTGTGCGGCCGTGCACTGCCACCTGCCTGCGGCTACGCACAATGTGCGCTCGCATTGGATGAGCCCTGCTGATGGACCTGCGTCGCCTAGCTGCACGAGAGCAATGCCGCAGGCGGTGGCCGTGGCATACACTGCGAGCACACTCGGTGCAGCTGCGAGGTGCAGCAAGAGCACGTCGTTCCTGCCTCTGATGCCACTCTCGCGGCTTGTAGCGCGTCACTCGCGCATGCTCTCCAGGAGCTATGGCGGGCGCGTGTGTGGGGCTGTAGCCTGTGTTTGGCCGGTTCTGACCCGTTTACTATCAGTATCATGCCCGGGCCACAAAAAATCGCACACGGGTAGCGGCTCAGGGGCCCAGTAAGTCGCGGAATCGCCAAATGTCACAACCTGCGCCACCCAGGGCTGGACCTAGTCGAGCGTGTGAGGGCTGCTCTGAAACGGTCTCTGTTCGTGCGATCGGCTTTTGTTTAAACCTCATCTTTGTTCATTGGCCCCAACATGGCGAAGAAGATTCATTGCACGCGGCACCTCCGGCTGCTCGTGGAGCGCGTTCAGCCACATAGCGGCTGGCTGCTGTACGGGTTCGCAGGATCACTGCAGGCCATGGATCGCAACCCCCTGCTGAGCGCGGCTTGGGAAACAACCTCAACGCTCTGTTGCGAGCCGCCGCGGTCGCCGTGACGACTAACCGCAGGCTATGGGTTAGCACCAATTATTCCTCGGTGGCCAGCTTCATGAGGCCATCGCACCAGCTAGATGCACTTGTCTACTGGGGCGGCGCGCCCGCGCCGACTCGTGTCCCGAGGGTGGCGTACGGTGACGTTGTCCGGGCGCAACGGGCCCATCGGCCGCTCCTTGGGGCGTCGCACAATGCCAGCGTTGTTGAGCTCGAGGAAGTGCCAAGTCAAGCAGATCAGCATGCGACCACGCTCCGTGTCTCACCGCAGCTTGCGGTCGCCAGGCACTGCCTCGCCTCTGCCCTCGTGCAACCAGGTGCGGAGGTCGAGAGGGAGGTGGCCAGCATCCTGCGCCGCAAAAGTAGGACTGTGGCGCTGCACATGCGCACGACAGACAGCCACATGCACGCGCGATTCGCGCCGGAGGTTGTCAACGAGACGAGCCGCGATCATAAGGGCTGCGCGGGAGGCGCGCGACACATGGCGCACTGCGCGCTGCAGCTCGCCCGCCAGTCTGGCGATGATGCCCAAATCTTCGAGGCGAGCGACAACGAGCTAATGGACGCGCAGATTCGCGAGGCCATCCCGTTGGTGGTGCAATCGCGAGGCCTGCCGGTGCACACAGGGCGCCCCGCCACCGCAGGCCACAGCCACGGGTACACAAAGGCGCTGGTCGACTTCTTTGTGTTCACGCGCGCGAGCGTCATGGTGAGCAACTGCTTTCGGGGCAGCACGTATGCCATCAACGCAAAGCTCCTGCGAGGGCACCGCCCCTCCATTGGACCGTTTTCCGCAGGATGCAAACAGCTGAGCAATGGCAGTGCGGGCGATTTGTCACGCCCACACGCTGAGTCTACTTCGTAGGGTATAGAGAAGCTGGAGTTTTCGACATTGTTTTGGCGTAATAAAGCGTGGGGAGTTGTTTTCACACCGTTCAAACGCGGCCCAGGAGCGTCCACGCGCCTCGCGCATTTGGCTGTGTTGCCGGCGCACCGGTGCCTCGGGAGACAGCCAAAAAAATCGGGGAAAAACGCGGTTCAATCTTCAAATGGCAAATGGGCGTCGTCACGGCAACAACAAACAACAGACGACAGGAAGCAACGTGCGAGGCTAGAGCAGGCTTGCTCCTCCTCTAGCAATCTCCGCCGACCGCGAGGCCGGACTAGACCGTGTGTGGGGTCATGTGAGGTGTCTCTGGACCAACGCATGTATGTAGGAAGGTGAAGAACAGTCAGGCTCGGACTGGACACCAACGCGGTATGGGTGGACGCAAGACAGATGATGACGACACGCACGAGCGACACACAGACACAAACAAGCTCACGAGACACACAGCCAGCGGGCTGCCACACATCCTGAGTGGGCGTACACATCACTCAGGCCACGTCCCCCCTGTCGCCCCCCCCAGCACTCCAAGGTGCCAAGAGACAAACAACAGCACAACAACACAGACAGGCGACAGGGGCGAACGTGTGAGACTAGAGCAGGCTTGCTCCGCCTCTAGCAATCTCGTCGCCGGCCGCAAGGCACGGACGAGACCGTGTGTGGGGTCTTGTGAGGTGTCTATGGACGCCCTCCTCACAGGCTAGCGGCCAGCCGCCAGCCCTATCTCGCACTCATGGGTGACGACAGTTCATTGGATGAGTGGTTGCGAGCAGAGGCGCGTGTGCTGAATCTAGATCGCACGCCGTGGCATATGACTTGGGTAGGCGTGCGACCGCAGCGCGCCCGCCGAAGGCTCGACCGGGCGCGCGTGTCAGCCAGAAGTTTGCCAGTAGAGCGATCCTGGTCTTTCCGAAGACGAGCCCCGCGCCACGGGTGCCAGCCGTGCCTCCGCGGGAGCCGCCTCTCGAGCCGCGTCCCGCCGGCACTGTCCCTGAGTGCGTCCCGCCTCAACGGCACGCACTCGGCGAGGACAGTCCGGCCGACAGGAACGTGTCGCGCGCCGGCGACGAATGCGGCGGGGTGGGTGTGGGTACAAAGCGCCGCTTCGACGAAGCGAGGTAGGCAGGCGCCCCTCACGAGTCCGTTCAGACATGCCACACGCCCCTCGCAAGCGAGGTTGGTAGGCGCCCCTGGCGAGACCCGCAAGAGATGCCGCACCCCTCTCGTACCTATACTCAACCAATGAGAAGGTGAAGAGATGCGAGAGAGGGCCAAGCCTGATAAAAAAAAACGTGACCGCTGCTGCGCTGGCTCCGCTTCCCGAGTCGCTCCATCGCCCCTGACGATGAGCGATGAGCCGGCGCGGAAGCGCATGAAGCGAGTCGTGGTGGACTCCGACGAGGAGGACGACGAGGCCGGGCCCGCCGCTCCACAGGCTCCGAGCCCTGTGCCGGCTGCAGCCGGCGGCGGCGCCGCAGCCTCCTCGGCCGCGGCATCCTCGAGCGGGGCTGGCGGGGGCGGAGACGGCGGCGGCGCCGCAGGCGACGACGACGACTGGGATCCTGAGGGCGCGGCTGCCAATGCGGCGGCGGCAGGCGGCAGCAGCGACGGCGGCGCGCAGCGCGGCGACGGCGGCGGCGGCGGCGCGGGCGCGAGCGAGCCCGCGGCGTCGGGCGCGGCGGCGGAGGGAGAGAAGGACTGGGAGGACGAGGAGGCGGTGATGACGGAGGACGAGGACGAGGACAGGGACGACAGGGGCAGGGAGGAGGACGACGAGATCGGCCCGCGCAAGGGGAGGAAGGCCGTGGAGTTGGATTCCGACGACGAGGGGTTGATTGAGGAGAGCAGAGCAGGGATTCCACCATTTTCTTGGCCCGGGCCTCCCCCGGTCCGGGCCGCCTTTTTGGAGGCCGCTTTGGTGGCGGCCCCACCACTCCCTCCCTGCGGCCCCCTTCCCCGGTTCCCCTTTTTCCCCCACCTTTGGCCATTTGGGTTGCGCCTGTGCAGCGGGGGGCAAAGAAGCCTTCCCCCCCCCCCCCCCCCCCGGCCCCTCCCACCGGCCCCTCTCCCCTCGGCTCGCCAGGAGAACACGGGGATCGCGCGGCCGAAGAAGACCGCGGCCGGAGGGCGCCTCAAGAAGGGTCCGCAGCCCGCCGCCTCCTCCGCCGCCGTAAAGGAATTGTTCTTTTTATTACTAGAATGTGAACTACTGTAGGCCCCCAGCCCGCCGCCTCCTCCGCCGCCGCCGTCGTCGGAGACACCGCCGACGAGATCCAGGCGAACTTTCCGAGACACTTCCGAGACACTTCCGAGACACTTCCGAGACACTTCCGAGACACTCCCGAGACACTTCCGAGACACTTCCGAGACACTTCCGAGACACTTCCGAGACACTCCCGAGACACTTCCGAGACACTTCCGAGACGCTTCCGAGACAGCGCTGCCGCCTCCCCTTGCCCCCTTACCCCCATGGTTCTCGCCCTGTCCTCCCGCCCGCCCGCCCGCCCGCCCGCCCGCCCTCCCTCCCTCCCCTCCCTCCCTCCCTCCCTCCCCTCCCTCCCTCCCTCCTCTCCCTCCCTCGCTCGCTCTCTCTCTCCCTCCCTCCCTCCCTCCCTCCCTCCCTGACCTCGCCTCGCTCTCCCCGCGCCAGGCGCGGCTCTTTGGCGGCGACGACGACGACGAGGGCGGCGGCGGCGCGGAGGGCGGCGGCGAGGGCAGCGAGGGGGGGCGGGAGGAGGAGGTGCGCGACGAGGACGACGACGACGGCTTCATCGTCGACGCGCATGGCAAGGCGGTCGCACCGCACCGCCCACGGTACCCGAACCCTCCGCTGGGTTCGGGTAGGGTGGAGGTATGGGAGTAGGCGCTCCACCGGCGGCGGCGCGAGGATGGCGTCTCGGCCGAGCGCGCGGAGCAGGCGGGGGAGAGCGAGGCATTACCATTCACATGAACAATTAATGATTACTATGAACGTTGAGAGGAGCAGGTGGAGGAGAGCGAGGCATTACCATTCACATGAACAATTAATGATTACTATGACCGTTGAGAGGAGCAGGTGGAGGAGAGCGAGGCCATCTTCGGCACGGACGCGGAGCTGCGCGAGCTGCTCGAGTACACCGGCGGTGCGGTCGAGGAGGGCGAGGAGGGGGGGGGCGAGGAGGGGGCCGGCGTGGAGGCGGAGGCGGAGCTGCTCGAGGAGACGTCGGAAGAGGACGGCGCCTTCCTCGACGCATGCGACTCAACGGCTCCCTGTAGAATGATCAGGTGTGAATGACTTAGGACGGCGACTTCCTCGACCTAACCGAGGAGGAGCAGGCCGACAAGGAGGAGCGGCGCGTGCGCAGGGCGGAGGCGCGCGCGCGCGCGGCGGAGCGGGCGCGGCGCGGCGGCGGCAAGGGCAGGCTCAAGGAGAGGCTGGCGCAGCTGGCCGAGCCGGAGACGCTCAAGCAGGCGACGCTGACACAGATCTCCCCACATCTCCCCACATCTCCCCCATATCTCCCCCATCTCTCCCACATCTCTCATATTCACACAACACACGCAGGCGATGCTGACACAGATCTCCCCCACATCTCCCCCATCTCTCCCCCATCTCTCATATCTCCCCCATATCTCGCAGGCCATGCTGACACAGATCTCCCCCACATCTCCCCCATCTCTCCCCCATCTCTCCGCCATCTCTCATATCAACACAACACACGCAGGCCATGCTGACACAGATCTCCCCCACCTCCCCCCCATCTCCCCCATATCTCACATCTCCCCCATATCTCGCAGGCCATGCTGACGGACGTTGACGAGAAGATCCGAGCCACCGACCTGCCCGAGCGGCTGCAGACCGACCCGTCCGTCGTGGACAGGCCGCCCCCCGAGGCGGGCGAGGTGCGATCTCCCCGCACCTCCCCGCACCTCCCCGCATCTCCCCGCACCTCCCCGCATTTCCCCGCACCTCCCCGCATCTCCCC